ACAAAACAAAATCCATCGGAACAACTTCTTTCTGAACCACAAACAAAGCACTTCCTAGAAAAAGAGAGAGACTAGTTCTTAACAGCCCACCTAGGGATAAACTAGATGTTACCAACGCTTCCTGCTGAGTTACTATGATCACAGTTCTTTGCGGCACAAATTTTTTAAGCAACCCTGGAAACAACTTCAAAGCTTTCTCAGAACCCCACAGTGATGCGACTTAATTAAGATTTAAGTAAGCTGTCCTCTTACAAGGAGTCAGGGACTAGCTAGAAAAGCTTGCTTAATTCTACAGAGGGAGGGAGGTTGGGAATGATGGATGGATAGGAGGGATGGATGATGGGATGAATGGATGCATGGATGGATGGATGGGATAGATGAATGGATGGATGGATGGATAGATCAGTTGGAGAGTGGGAGAAAAAAATAGGAAGCAAAGTTAAAACAATATAGATGAAGACATACTTATGAACATAGATAGATCTTTACTTAAGAGTGTGTGTATATGTGTGTGTGTGTGTGTTGTGTGTGTATCCATCAAATCCATGTGTATCTCTGTATGTATGTGTGTATAACCATATTGTATGTTCTTGCTTCATTAAATGCTTTTTGAAAAACTGATTATACAATTGAGTCCAAAATGTATAATCTCAGAGTAAAGGTTTCACTACTAAATAAAAGCTTTAGAGATTTAAAAATTAGGACTATCACTGTTTGCTAATTTGGAAAAAAATGCTAATCCTCGACATTCTGTTTCTTCCAGTCTTTTAATATATTACTAATATTTATGTTTAAAAGGATGAACATATATATACATTTGAATTGACAACTGACTCCTTAAGTTCTGTTGTTTCCCAACTTCTAACCTCAGACCTCATCGTATTCTGGGCCTTCACACTCTAATCTTCTCCCACTGCTTCAATGACCACCAGTAAGAAGGAAACGTCCAATTTTATTTTTATAACTTCCATGCGTCTCCTAAATCTAAATACATTTCAGGCTGCCTACTGGCTATCTCCACCAACTTGTCATTGATTTTCTTTGTGAATTGAAGGCACAGTTCTAAATTCCTTTTCCTTAAAGTAAAAATATTAACTATAATATTAATATGTTTCATTTGGGCACTAGATGTAATAATTTTAAAATATAAATAACTTCAACCTTTGTAAATTACTTACGATCTATTAAGGGATCTTGATACTTAATTTATTAAAATATTTATTTAAAATTTGTGGTAAGTAAAAAATAGTTTTTCAAAGCACATAACACTATTAGTTAACTTTGGCACAATTCCAGATAAACATAGACCAGACTTCCTTAAAATGCAGTAAAAAGACTTGCTTTCCCATTTTTTAAGGTTAACACCAAAAACATTTTAAAAATCTACTTTTAAAAGAAAAGTCAGTAGCTTCTGAGCAATGCTAAAAACACTTAACGTTTAAAGTTTTTAATTAGACCCCAAGCCAAGATTTTTGGTTGCTATATATAAACATACACAGCTCTCGACAACAACAACAAAAAACTAAAGAACTATTTCCAGGTATTAAATGCATCACCTAATAAACAACAGAACTAAATCAATACATATCACAAAGTGTTCAACTATATAACAGTCACATCAAGGTAAGGATCAACTTTTCTTCAGCAACCATGTGATTATACTTATTAAGAAACTAGATTGAAATTTTTCATTAGGTTTTTAAAATAGTAAAACCATTCCAATTAATATTTAGACTAGGTCATAATCTATAACAGATACAAACTTTTTTGCGAATACCTAGTATCAATAAACAAAAACACCAGTGCAAGAAGCTCACTTAAAGGAAATAAAAGCAGAAAGCTTTAAAAAAAAAAAAGTTCACTATTAAAAGTAAAAAGAGAATAGGAAATA